AAGTAGCTACGACAGTCCCCTTCTAGAACAGTGCCCATATCCTGCCGCCTGAGCACCTCAGGGCTTAGTCGTCTCCCGGAAACCAGCTGAGAGAGGGCTTCCTGGATCCACCCGGCTCCACGCGCCCGCTGGCGGTGCCCGGCACTAGTGCTGCTGGTGACCGGTGGGCGTGGGGGCGGAGGGTAAAGCGGCGACTTGGAATTCTCCCCCCCCCCCGCCCCTGAGGTTGGAGAGGGACCGGCGTGGCCCCAGCACAGGTGGGACGCTGCCTATGCGCTCAGCGACGCCGGGGCGCAGGTGCTCTGGGCTGTTCCAACCTCACGTGCTTTCCACGCCGCCCGGCTCTGAGCGCCTCCAGGGGCGGCCTCGCGTCTCAGCGTCTACCTCGCCCCCACGTCCGCCCACCCCAGGCCTTCGTGCGCGCAGAGCTGTTATCTCCGAAACACCCAGACCCCTCCGGCCCCCGGCCGGTTTGGGTTCTCAGGATTGCCTTAAAAACCCAGGTCGGTCTGGCCATGTCCATCCGCCTTACGCCTGCCCTGGGCAGGAGGAAGGAATGGGGGCGCACGGCTCCCCCCGCCCCCGCCCGCCGCCGCTGCGGAGTGGAGCGGGTAACCTCCCCGACGCGGACGGGGGAGGAAGGGGTCGTTCCCCAGTTCGCGTAAAGCGCCACTTCGGAGTTCTCTCGCCCGGAGTTCTGAAACTGAGGGGGGCTCTACTCAGGCGGCCCCGCCCCCGCGAGGAAGGGAAAGCGAGTTCTCAGGGGCCGTGGGATGGGGCAGGCGCGCGCGGCACGATTCTGGGAAACCCTTCGCTGGAGGAGCCTCCCGCAGCCTCGCCGTTCGCTTCTCCCACGTCCCTGCGTGGGTCTGGGGACCGGGCAGTGGGCGTCTCAGGGCAGGTCCTTCGCCGCGCCGAGCCCGCTGACTCCGGCGCCGAGTCCAGACGCCGTGCCCACCGGCCACGGCGCTCTCAGGACCCACGCAGGGGCCCTTCACTCCACTCTTCCCGACAGGGCCCCATGTAGCGTGGGCTCCGTGGGGGGGAGGGGCAGGTGCTCAACCCCGCAGTCCGCACGCCCCCTCCCCGCGGCTCCCGCCCCCTCCGCCGCCTCCTGGGGCTCCGAGCCCCGCCCCCGCGGGAGCGTAACCGGGCACCACCCCCCGCCCCACACACGCGCGTGCGCACACACACACACACACTCACACTCACACCGCCGGCAGCCCCTGCTCCCCTTCACAGCTTCCACTGTAGGGGCTCCAAACGAACCTGTGGAGCGTTTCCAACAAGTGAAATAGGAAGAATCCCGTTTAGCAGACCATCAAGGGGCACCCGTCCTAAACCCCCTCCGGGCCTCCTTGCTTAATTAATATTTGGGATCCAGGTCTCGCCGCGTGGACGCAGAACCCGGCCCTCCTGGTAGAAAGGGGAGCCCTCGGGCAGCGCAAGGCCCCGGGGGGGGGGGGACTCCGTGGCTTTCGCGTCCCGGGGAAGGTGCGCTGCTGGTTTCGGAGGGTCCCGGACAAGCGCCTGCTCTGGGCCGGGGGCCTCAGACACCCCGAATCCCGCCCCCTCCGGGCCAGCGAGCCCCCAGCCCCCCGCCCCCCGTTTTACAGAGGTCACGCGGCTGCAGCCCCGGAAGCCGGGCGCGCGCTGCGGCCAGGAGCAGCCGGCGACGGCACCGAGCCCCAAACCCCCCGCTTTCCACGGGCGGAGGCGCCCTGCCCCCGGCGGGCTGCCCGGCGGTGCGTAGGAGCGACGCGGCGGGAACAGGGAGCCACCGGCGGGAGCGGGTGAACGGAGGGCCCGGGTGGTGGGAAATCCGGAGAGACCCAGGAACGAGCACGGGAGAAGCAAAGGGAGAGGGAGCCGAGGCGCAGAAAGGGGGAGACAGCCCGGCGGGGGCAGGGGCCGAGGGCTCGAGGGGCGCGCGGGCGGCGCGGAGGCGGGCGGCGCGCTTACCGGCGGCGGCCGAGCGCAGGCTCTCCAGGCTCCAGGAGCGCGACCGCGCGCCGCGCAGGGCCCCGCGGCCGCCGCACACCACGCCGCTGCTGTCGGAGTCGGAGGCCGGGGACAGCCCGGCGCTGCTGCCGCCGCCGCTGCTGCTGCTGGTGCCCAGGTCGCCGCCGCTCGTCTGCCCGCTGGACTCGCTCGGGCACTGCTGCGCCCTCCCGCACGGGGGCTCGAGCTCCAGCCACAAGCTTGCGGGAGGCTGGGCCGCGGGCCAGGGCGCGGGGGACTCGGCGGCGACGGCGGCGGGGCTGCCGGGGGATGGAGCCAGCGAGCCGGGGCCTGGGCCAGGGCCGGCACCCGCACCCGCATCCTCAGCGCCGTCGGAGGGCGAGGGGCGCGCTGGCGGCCCCGCGACGCCCTCGGCTCTGTCCTCGGCTGCGTCCCCGCCGCGCGGCCGCCGCTCCGGGCTTGCCGACATCCTGGGGCTCCGCCGCCGCCGCCGCCGCCGCGGCTCGGACTCTGCGGGCGCCCACCCGGCAAGCGCAGCGGCTGCCCGCCCGCGCCCGCCCGCTCCCGGCCGCCCCGGGGCGCTGAGCGGCGGCGGCGGAGGCCGCGCAGACCCGGTCGGCACGCGCTCACGCAGGCGCGCACGCAGACCCGGAGCGGCGGGGCGGGCGCGGCGCTGGGCCTGGACGGCCGCCGGCCCTCGTGCGTGGGCGCCCCGCCGCCGGCGTTCGCACGCGTGGGGCACCGCAGGGTCCTCCTCGCGGGGGACGCGCAGTCATCCCAAGGCCACGGTGGTGAGTGGAGCTGGCGGGCCCGCGCTTTGATTCCCAAGGATGCGGCTCGGATGCGGCGGGCGGCGCGCCCCAGCCGGTCAGGCCGGAAGGCCCCGGTGGCCCAGGGTCAAGACCCGGGCGGGCGGCCCAGCGCAGCCCCCGGGGCAGGGAGCGCGCTCGGCCGGCGCCGGCGCGCGGGGCGCGGGAGACACGGGGCAGCGGCCCTGCTGTGCCCGCCGGGGGTACCGGGCCAGGGGCCGTGAGTAAGAGGCCTCGCGAAGGAGCTGCAGTGCCCGCCCCGAACGACGCTGGAAAGTGTCGGGAAAAGCCCGGCGGCGGCACGAAGGGACCCGGAGCCCGGGTCTGCGGATATGGGGACGCGAAAGGGAGCTGCCGTCTCCCCCGACCCCCCTCCCCGCACACTCGTGAGTGTCCCGTGGGTCCTTGGAGTGTGCGCGCGCCCGCAGACGAGCCCGAAAATCAAGAGGTGCTTGTAAGAGCGCAAAATCTGGAGGGTGGAAAACGGGGCAGACGCGGTCTCACGCGGGGGGGTGGGATGTGCCAGGGGGAACTGCCAATAGGGACTGACGGGGCGCAGAGCCCCCACCCCCACCCACCGCTCCCCGAGCCCACCTGGAGGAGGGCGGCTCCCGCAAAGGTGGGCGCTGCCTCCTCTCCCCTCCTTTGGGGTCCCTTCCTCACAGCCCATCTCCTCCCCTCAGCCCCCTGGGCTCCTGCCTGGGAGCCACAGGGAACCGGCATCTCCGTGGATGTCTGGGTGTCTCCCCCTCCCCCCCACCCTCACCCCCCGCCCCCGCCCTCGAGGGTCCTCCGTTATCTCCGCTGCGAGTATACTAATTCCCGCCCCCACCCCTGGGGGGCAGGCTGGGACGGTCGCGGGCAAACGCTGAGCGTCCAGGGCGGAGCGCTGTGCCAGCATAGGGCGATACCAGCCGATGGGCACCAGGGGGCGACTCAGCCGCGTCTGCGCCTCGCAGGCCCTCGCTGGGTGCGCGGATCTGGGGAACCGGTCCTGCAGGGACCCCCCGGGTCCCCACCTGAGTGCTGGTGTGGCACAGGGGCCGTGTCCCTTCAGACCACCGTGGGGACGGCTGCCCTCACGCACCGCTGCCCTTCCCGGGGGGCCTCCACCTAATTCTGGGACTTATGCGTCGTGCTCCTGTGAAGAATCCTGTTGTTCTTGAAAGGATTATTTCGGCGCTTGCCAAACACGCCTCTTCGGAACTTGGCCTGCTGTGAACTTAAGACCGCAGCCCAATCTGAGAAAAAAGTCCGCCGCCTGGCGCGGCCTGAGCCGGTGCTGACGGGGGACCGTCGTGTTCGCCCACCGAGCTGAGCAGCCGGTGCCCCGGCAGAGTCCCACCCGGAGCTCCAGACGCCCACCTGTACCAGGGCTGGACGGAGGCCCTCACACGGCACCTTTTGCCAATGGCCCTGGCCCCCCACGGGACCGTAGTGCCACCAGACGGAGCCCTGGGGAGTCCTGACTGGGAGCCAGGTCCGCACCCCCCGAGTCTGGAGAAAGCACGCGTTTGGTAGAGCCCCTCTGGTCCTGCAGGCCTGTCCGGGGCTGTTTGTCCTTCCCGGACACCGGCTCTGGCCCCTCCCCCCAGCCGGCGGGATGCTTTGGGGCAGTGAGGTTGCCCCTGACCTCGTCGGCACCCCTTCGGGCCCCGGGACCCGACGTCTGTGCTTCCCCGGGAGACCCTGAGCATCTCCGGCTCGCCCAGCCGCTCCTGGGTTAGTAGTGCACGGCAGCGCCACCCTGGCTGTCTCTGCGGCCGGTTCCTCCCGGCACAAGACCCGGCCCCTTCAGGCACCAAGACGTGATACACCGCTTCTTGCCGCAGTTTCGGGAGACGGACTCCGAAGGCGGCCGGCCCCTCAAAAGGGAACGCCCCCAAGTCCCTGGACTGGACTGGAGACAACTCTCTGTGGTCACTTCTGCGAGCTCTGTCCCACAACAAGGCCCAAGGGCCGGTCAGCAGTTCTGATCGAGTTAAGTGAGTGGAGGCAGGTTTGGGGGTTCAATAACGGAATGTCCCCTAGGCCAAGAGTCCCCTTCCCCTGCGTGGTGGGGAGCCCTTCCGAACTGAAGGCACGACAGACAGTGTTTTCTGTCCCTCACCTTCCAGCCACTTCTCCGCCAGATGGGAGACAACATTAGCCAACAGCCTGTGTCACTTGCTGTCCTCCGGGCCACCGCGACAGGGCGTGAGCCAGCAGGGAGAGGGGCGCGGGACTCACCGGGGTCAGGTCGGCGCTGGGGCCCGCCCAGGCGGTCCAGTCCTGTCGGGGCGCTCTGGGAGAAGGGGCGGCTTCTTCTGGGGGCACTCAGAGACCCCGGAGAGGCACCGGTCATCTTCCTCCAGCCCTGGGAGAGGAGGGAAGGGACCGAGAGTCAATGAGAAGAGACGACATGTCATTGCCACATTTCTCTGACTGTTCCGGGCTTCTGGGCTGAGCAGAGCCCAGGGCCGGAATGCGAGCGGCTCCGGGCGTTGCCATGTTCACTTGGAAACCCGTGGGCACAAAGGGGAGGCTGCTCCTGAATCCGGTCGTCTGCAGCCTGGGTGCCCAAACGTGGTGGCCGGGGCCCAGCAGGCAGCCGTTACTCAGCACCCCGAGGGAGGGCCGTGGGGGAGGTTCCTGGACCCGTGGCTCTGCCCCGGGCTGGCGGGTCGCACAGCCGGGCTTTCCGCCCAGGGCAGAACTGTTCGTTTCACCTGCGGCGTATTCTTTTAGGGGCGTTCAGTGAATACTCTTGCACCTCGGGAAGCCTCTGCCACCTCACCATTATGAGACAGAAGGGACCAGGGTTGTGTGGGTCTGGGGAAAGCAAGAGGTAGTGTCCCTTAGCACCCCACAGTCCCCAGGTAAACTTCGTCCCTCCCAGTATGGTCTACTTTAAAAAGTTATTGTGGCCCTGGCTGATGTGGCTCAGTGGACGGAGTGCCAGCCTGGGAACCAAAGAGTGGGTGGTTCGATTCCCAGTCAGGGCACATGCCTGGGTTTCAGGCGAGGCCACCAGTAGGGGGCGCGCGAGATACAGATCAATGATTCTCCCTCACATGGATGTTTCTCTCCCTCCTCTTTCTCCCTCCCCTCTCCTGTCTCTAAAAATAAATAAATACAATATTTTTAATTTTTTTTCAATTTTAAGCATGAAGCATCTTTTTCTTTAATGAGGGAGTTTTTTTATATATATTTTATTTCTTTATTTTTAGAGAGGGAAGGGAGCGAGATAGAGAGAGTGAGAGAGAGAAACATCAATGTGCGGTGGCTGGGGGTTATGGCCTGCAACCCAGGAATGTACCCTGGCTGGGAATCGAACCTGGGACACTTTGGTTCGCAGCCCGCGCTCAATATTTTTAAATTTTTAAAAAAATTCTCATCATTCTCTTCACGAGAAAAAACGTTCTGTTAAGTGTGTGTGTGGTGGGGTGGACTAAACATGCTATGGCGATCATTTTGCAGCATGCACAAACACAGAATCGCCGTGCCGTGTACTTGGAGCTGGTATCATGTGTGTCCCTGTTGCCTCCATACAAGATAAGCAAGTAAACGCGTGTTCACTGGCACTGCCGATTTACACGGTGGGATGGGAGAGGGAGGAGCCAACAACCTTCTAAGCAGCTCAGTGGAAATGATCCAACCTGGATAAGGGGGGGGTGGGGGGCGGGGGGGGCTGGTGGGAACCAACCCACAGTCCCAGAGCCTGTGGGGCCGCAGCGCAGGGTCGGCCCTGCCGACGGGCTCCCGGGCGGAGAGGAGCAGGGGTGGTGCCGGGCAGGAGCAACGAGGACTTTCTGAAACTGTCCCGAATGTGGCAGAAAAACATTAACCTGCATGACAGACGCAGGAAGCTCAGCCAACGTCGGACCGGAAGGCCCGAGGACACGGACCCCTAGCACATCCTCACGAGACTGCTGGAAACCGGAGGTGGTGGGGAGATCCTGCAAGCAGCCCGAAGCTAACGACAGATGATTATTTGTAAGGGAAAACCATTCGGACGACTACAGATTTTTCTCGGAGGCCGGAAAGAAGTGGGACAGTATTTTTTAAATGCCGAACCAACTTCGTGTCCACCCGGAATTCTGTGTCCAGCCGAAAAGAAGAAAACTTGAGGAAAGGAGGTGACACACACACACTCTCACGAGGAGGAGGAGGAGGAGAGGATTCACAGCCAGCGGACGGAAGGAGGAGCAACAGGGCAGAGGTGCGGGTACAGGCAACAGGTTATGTTTCTCCTCTGAGCTCTCTGAAGTACACTGGACAGTTAGAAGCACAGGTCAGCGTGCTGTCTGATGAGGTGTGTGTACATGTGTGCACATGTGTGTGCATGGCGTAGCCTATGGGGTGTGCGGCGACGGTTTCCACGTTCCATTTGAAGTCACGACACAGTCACTCTAAGCCGGCTGTGTAAAGTTAAGGATGCACTGTAACTCCCGGAGCGACTATTTTAAAACACCAAAGACATAGACTTTAAACTCAGTAGAAAAGTTAAGATGCAAAACTAAGAAAATGTTCAAATGGTTTAAAAGGAAACATGAAAAGGCAACAGTGCAATGAAATCAGAGGAATGAACAGAGAACACAATTGAGCTAAATCCAAACATGTCAGTAATGATGCTGGATTTAAATACTCAGAACACATCACTAAAAGATTTTCAAAGTGGGTTAATGAGAAAAAGAGACCTCACAATATGCTGTCACAAGAAACCCACTTTCAAAGTGACGATAAAAGTCGGTAAAAAGTGGAAGGAAGGGAAAACATATGCCACGCAAATTCTAACAAAAACGAGGCCTCGAATGGTTGTATTGGTATCAGATGAAATAGACTTCAGAGTAAGGAAAATCACCAAGACACCAAAGGATATTAAACAACAAGAGAGTGAATTCACCAGGAAGACGTAACAATCCTAAGTGTGTGTGCACCTCCCCACACACCTTCAGAATACACTGTAGGGAGTGGAAATGGATACGAGTTAACCGAGAAGTGGAAAGTCCGCAGTGAAGGTTGGATACTTCCACACTCCATCGCAGTAACCAATGGAACAAAGAAACAGAAGCAGAGGGAGGAAACAGAACAACAGAGGACCTGGACGACCCCTCAGCCCAGTGGGGCTAGCGGACCTTTGTAGAACCGCCCACCCACGGCAGGACACGGGGGCTGCTCACCAGGGGAGACCGTGTTGTCGGTGATGAGGAGAAGAGCAATAATAGCACTAGCACATGCAAAGGGATTGGAAGCATACAATGTATGCTTCCCTGACCGTAAATTAAACTAGAAGTCAGTAATAGAATGGTATTCGGGAAGGCCCCATCTACTTAGAAGTGAAGCAACATACATCAGAATAATCCACGGAGCCACCCTGGCTGGTGTGTCCCAGTGGACTGAGCGCCCGCCTGCCACCCAGAGGGTCACCAGTTCAATTCCCAGTCAGGGCACATGCCCCGGGGTTGCGAGCCAGGTCCCCCAGTAGGGGGCGTGCGAGAGGCAACCACACATTGATGTTTTCCTCTCTCCCTCCCTTCCCCTCTCTCTAAAAATAAATAAAATCTTTAAGAAAAAAAGAAAAGCGACAGGATGCAAAGTCATAGAAAATTAAAGGCTCTATAGTCGGCATGACCGTGACCGTGTGAAGTGGTATATAAACGTGTTTATAGAAGACGTGATGCTATGTTCAAGTGACCGTTTCAGGGCACTGGGATAACACAGCGCCTGCTCCCTAAAAGCGCCGAGCCAGGGAGAAAGGGGCCCGCGGCCTGAGTTCCCGGCGGACGCGGCCGGCCACAGCCTGCTGTCTCGGGAGCCGCCACCAGAGGGAGCCTTGGTGCCGCCACGGCGAGCCTCCTGCGCTTTGCGGCCCAGCCAGGCCCCCGCAAACCACGCAGGTATTACAAGTACGGTGAATCGCCAGCGCCCGCCTGCGGGTTGGCAGGCGGGTTCCAGGAGCCTGGTCGCACCCCGTGCTGACGAAGGCGGGGGCCGCGGGGCGTGCGGCTGGGCCATCTGCTCCTACCTCGCCTAGCAACACGGCCCTGCGGCCCCTCCCGCGCCCCCTCCCGCGGTAAGCCGAGGGGTTGGTCGGGGGGTGGGGGTCCCTGCTAACTCACCTCACTCCGGGGAAGGTCCCTGAGCGAGCGTGCTGGGCTCAGAGGACGGAGCCGCCGGCCTCTTTCCCAGCTCTCCTCCTCGCGGTCCTCCCAGTCCAGCAGCTGCTGAGAGCACAGGCGGCTCCTGCCGGCCTGGTGGGTCCTGGGCCCCGCAGGGGCCTGCGGGCTGCCATCCGCCTGGCCGCGGCTTCCGAGGAGAACCATGGAGCCGGCACTGCCCCTGCCGGGGTGGCAGCGGGAGCCCGCCCGCCGGGGCTTGGGGCCCAGGGGTCTGCTGGGCGCGTCCGGGCTTGCACAGGCCAGAGAGCAGGTGGAGGCAGAGGGGACGGTGAGGGCGACCCGGCGCTGCCGGGCACCAGGGCGGGTGGGGGGCACCAGCCAGGACCTGTCGGCCAAGACCCCTGCGTGCAGGCACCGACCCCCGTTCGCGGGGCTGGCACAGGGCATGGTGGGGTCACTCTTCCTCCTGCTCTCTGCACAGACCGAACTGCCGGGCGAAGGTGGGGGTGCCCCGTGGCCCCCCTTGTCCTCTGGCCGCTCCTCGCAGCGGCCCTGAGTCCCCGGGGCAGGCGGGAGGGGCGCAGGGGGTTCTGGGCCGGGACCGGGACTCACTGCGGAGGGCCGCTGGGGGGCCCCTGCAGCCTCGCCCTTCAGAAGCGCCCGCCAGGAGCTCTGCGGCCGCCTGCTCCGCCCCTTCGGGGGGCCCCGGGGGGAGCCTGGGGACCTGTGGTCCGCGTTCTGTTTGTCCACAGCTCTGGACTCAAAGAGACTGGCGAAGGCCCTGTGGGCTGTGGCCAGCCTCGCCCACAGGCTCTTCTCCGGGGTTTGGGGCGTCGGGGCGTCGCAGCTCTCCGCGCCCAGCCCTCTGCCCCCTGGGTCCTCGGGTGTCTCCGCGGCCCCGCCTCCCACCAGCCCCGCGGCCCCCTCGCCCGGGCTGTGTGGGGCGATCTCAGCGTCCTCGAGCGCGTGCACGTGGTGCAGAGGCGTCGGCTTCCCGGGGCGCGCCCCCGGCCCGCCGTCCACAGCGGGCGGCCTCTCTGCGCCGCGCTCCCGGTCTCCCTCCGCGCCCAGGGCGCCGGCCCGCGGCTGCAGTGGCTCCGGCTCCTGGGAAGCCCGGCGGAGCGCGCAGGTCCGTGGGGACGAGGCCAGAGCATCGCCGCCCTCGGGGTCCCCGCTGCCCAGCGTGCCCGCCCACGCCCCCCCTCGTGTGTCCTCTGGCGGGGAGCTGGGCACCCGAGCAGCGGCCCCCTCGTCGGAGCTCTGTTCCTTCTCCGGCGGTTTGTCCCCCGCGGGCCCCTGGGGACTCAGCCTGCCCCCTGCCGGCCCCTGGGAGCCGGTCTCTTCTCTGCCTCGCGCAGCAGCCCCGGCCACGTGCACAGGAGTCCCCTCGTCACCCCCCGGGCTGCGGCCTGCGGGCCCCTGGGGCTCCGCCCCCCAAGTGCGTGGCGTCCCAGTCCCGGGAGGTTCCCAGGGCGCCGCTCCGACACCGCGGCGCGACCGTGGCCTTTCCCCCAGGAACTCACAGGAGCGCGTCCCCGGGAGCAGGCCCGCGCCCCTGCGGGTGGCCTGGAGCCCTCTGTGCTCCACGGCGACGATAACGAGCCCGCGCCTGCCCCGGGAAGGCGTGTCTGCCCCGGGCCCCGGCGTCCTGGCCCGGGCCAAGGTCCCGGCCGCCCCCTCTGGCCCCTGGCCACAGCCCGGGTGCCTGCCCCTGCGGGGAGACGCGGCCACCGGGGTCATTTCTGAAACACCCCGCAAGGCGTCGTCCCGGCGTTTGGGGTCCAGACCAATGGCGTCTTCTCCCTCCTGGGGACCGTGCGCGGCCCTGGATTCCAGGGTGGCCTTCGGGGCATCCGCCTGACCGCTGCCCCTGGAGCACGGGGTCCCTTCGGGCCCGCACACCTGCGACCGACCGTCGCTAGGATGCCGTGGGGCCCCGGGCACCACAGGCGGCTTGCTCTTCTCGGGGAGAACACCCTCGGGTGTGTCACCGCTGGTTTGGTTTCCTGCCTCCACGGCCACGTCCTCGAGGTGCTCCTGTTTCCCGGCAGCATCCGGGGCGGGGCTGGCGCCTGGGGGCTCCCCCGACCTGCTCCCCAGGCCGTGTCCAGACCTGCACTGGGCAGGTGGTGGCACTTCCCGAGAACCGAGGCCCCCGGACTGCGCAGCAGGGACTGGAGGGACTGGGCGGGGCCGAGAATCCCGGCCCCACTGGTCGTCCAGCCGGGGACTGTTGGAGCGTGTTGCCTGAGAGCCCCCCGCACAGCTCCCCGCGCTGGGCCCGCACCGGTCCTGCCGGCAGGAAGACCCCCTTCTCGGGGCAGGGGGCGCTGGGGACACCTGGGCGGGAGCCGGGGGCAGGGGGGACCCGGGCCTTGTAGCTCCTTCTGCTTCTGCACAGCCCTGCCCCGGCGGGTCCTCAGAGCACCGTAAGGGACACCCCGTGATGGACTGGGCCCTGGGTGGCGTCCTTGTGGGCCCAGACCCGTGCCCGGGGGGTGGCCCAGTCTCACTGCCAATGTTCTCTGGGGTGCTGCTGCAAAGCCAGGAGTGCATGAGGCCAGATGTCCCTGAAGGAGACCGGCAGGGGCCATCCCGGCAGGGCCGGGGGCCAGGCAGGGCTGCGTTCACTGCAGGGCCCCGGATGCTTCTCGTCCTCCCCCTGCCTCCCAGCGGGCCCGCGCTGCTGGGGGCCTGGGCCCCGTCGTGGGTGTGTGGCCAGCTGTGGCCCGGCCCACCGCCCTGGAGAAGTCGGGGCCAGACGCCCGCGAGGCCCAGGCAGCCCTCAGACCTGGATTTCTGGAGAGAAGTAGCAGAGGCCTCGCTGCGGGCCCAGACGGTCACCTGCGTGGCTGGCGGGAGGTGGCAGCCGCCCTGCAAGAGGTGCAGCGCCCCGGCCAGCGAAGGCCGCTGCGGGCTGGCCATGCGGCCCCGGACCTGCCCTGCCGCCTCCTCCCCGTCCGTGGTGGCGGCAAAGGCTCTGAAACCACTTTTACGAGACTCCTCCCGGAAGTCAAGGTCTCGCTCTTCCTCTGGGCCGGGCCCAGGGACACCCGTCGAACGCTGCTCCTGAGGAGGTGTGGTGGCCGGGCCATCAGGGCACCCCCAACATGCCGCTGCGTCCCCAGGGGCGCCACCTGGAGGGCGGCCGTTCCCCCCGCGGGGTCACCAGGCGGGGGCTCTGTTGGAAGCACTTCCCAAGTGGCCGGGGTCTGTGTCCGATGGTCTTTCACGCCGGTGGGGCCGCGTCTCCCAGTCATCGCCGTCTGGTCCCTGGCTCCATCCCTGTCCCTCGGGCTCTGCGGAGGAGCCAGGGGCCGCTGGTCTCCGAGCTCACCTGCCCTGGCAGGTGCGCACCTGGCTCCGGGGCCGGGAAGGGCGAGGAGAGAGGAGGCCGGGAGAAGGCCCGAGGCCGCCTGCTCACGCGCCTCCCGGGAGGAGAAGGTTCAGAGACGTCCCGTCAGCGCCCCACGTGTCCCTAGGAAAAGACAGGGGTGTGCTCAGCAGGAAGAGCTTTGTGTCCCTGACAAAGACGAGTGACAAAGCCCAACCCAGCAGCAGCGGCAGGAAAGCGGGGCGCACCGCCAAAGCAGCCCGCCTGGGGCGTCAGCCCGGCCGTCTGAGGACAAGTGTGCCGCCTGCGTCGCGGCCAGGCTCCCATCGTGCTGTGTTGTCGGCAAGAAAGAACGCGTTCCCGTCCGCGCCGGGCTCTGCCGGCGGTTGTGCAACCCGCCGGGCGCACGTCAAGGCTCTTGCACTTGGAAGTGTTTTCTGAATGAGGTTTGCTGGGGCAAAAAAAAAAAAAAAATTAGACAAGAATTCTTGAACTTGCAAACACATGTGGAGATGTTATCACTGCCCAGGACGGCTGTGAGAACAGGAAGAAAAACACACTGCAAGACCAGCGGATTCTCCTTCTCTCGTCCCTTCACCAGCCGGGTGCGCGTGAGTTTGTTTATGCGCACCCACTGACGGGGACCGTGGGGTGAGCGGGGAGGAAGAGGAGGGAGCTGCAGGTCGAGGGGTGGTGGTTGCAGGGGGGGCACGTTTGTCAGAGGCGTAGAATGGGGCACTTCCTACGGACGCAGCCTCTGCCCTGGTGTGTGAGTGACCTAGAAGAAGCATCCCTCGCACCCTTCCGGCATAAAAGTCAAATGAGCTTCAAATGCTCGACTTCGGGGGGGCCGTCGGAGAGCTGAGGTTGCAGAGCAAGCCGCCGGCCCAGAAGGTGAAGAGGGAAGGGCGCGAGCAGGGAGAGAGGAACCCAGACGCCCGAGACCAATGCCAAGTGCCCTGACGCCGGCGCAGCTGGAGCCCCCCCAGAGGAGAGAGAGAGACGAGGTCGGAAGAGACTCGGAAGCAACGAGCCCAGGACTGTCCCCAGACTGGCGGGAGACAGGCGCCTGCAGAGAGACACGCAGTTCGAAGAGGGAACTAGTGTCTCCGGCCGACCCTCCGCCTCGCGAGTGGCGACGTCCTTCGGGGGACGCGGCGGGGACCGGGGCTGGGCTCCACACACGGAATGAAGGGCGCAGACAGGGAGGGACGGGAAGCTCTGCGGCTGACGATGGGAAACCGCAGGACAGAGACAGACAGACAGACACACAGACCGGCCAGCGCCAACGAGGGGGACACCAAACACTCTCCCTTGCGGCCTCAGCCGGGCCGGAGTGCTTTCTCGCCCCACGCGCACCCGACACTGAATGCTGACATCCTGGTGTGATACGGCAATGAGAACAGTAAGAGCAATGCAGAGTAAAATGAAAGAAACTAAATAGTTTGTGTATGATTTTTATATGGAAAATAGAAAAAAAAACTAAAAAAAAAAAGCCTACAATTAGTAGGTGAGTTTAGTAAGGTGTCAGGGCGCAGTCAAGAAATGAACAAACAAAAATTGCATTTCTATATACGAAGGGCAAACAATTAGAATTTGAAATTTAAAAATAGCAAAAAATCCATCCCCATGTATAAATCTCATGAAATACATTAGACACATATTCGGGTATTTCATGCGCATGTATTTTTGGGCAGCCCTGGAGAGAGAAATCAAACGAGACCTAAATAAGTGAAGGGAATATGGTGTTTGTGAACTTAAACACTTAATATAATTACTCAGCAGTGAGTAATGCTATTACTTACTATCACAAAGAATCCGGTTCTTCCACTTATTTCTTTACCCAAATTATGTATTTATAAATAATTTCCTGAATTTTATTTATCCAACATGAATAATCATAGTGGGTTTTTTGGTAACACAAAAATAAAGGGCTTCTCTCTAAGCCCCTGCTGACATGAGTAAGTGACTGAATAAACGACAGACAGGGAGAAGGGAGAACTCTCCTTCACGGGATAGTTCCAGCCAGAAATGCGGAAGGAGCAGCAGACACGGGAGGTGACCACTGGGGCGCCCGCCGTCAGAGTGGCTTCAGGGACCGTCTGCCCACGGCCGCCAAAGTCATGCGTCCGGAGGGGTTGAAAGTGACCTCCCGTGAGAGGTTCTAACGTAGGGAAAGACCCCGAGACGTGACGCGTCTGTGGCAGTAACTGCTGTTCGCAACATTTAAAAAAGGGGGAGACTGTGCCCGACACCAGGACACGGACCGGGCAGACGCAGCCACATGAGTGTCCTCGGTGGGAACCAGACGTCCGGTGAACCGTGGATGAAACCCGTAAACGTGTGGAACGGAGAATGTCGTGTACGCTGCGATTGTAAAGCATTTTAAAAATACCAGGAAACTGAAATGAAATATGCCAGAGAAGCAATGTTTGGGGTATAGCCAAAATTGCGTCTGTTTTTCTACTTGCCACATACGGCGGCTAAATTACTTTATAATAGAAAAATGTGTGGCAACAGCTTACTTCCTTACGTCACTGGGAACTGTAGGTGGTTTCCTTAAAGGTCCCAGAGCACTTCAGCCCCAGAACAGGGGCCGCGCTCGCGGCTCCTCTGTTTCTCCCCGTGGCGCTGAATGCCGAGTCCTGGCCCGCAGGCCGCTCTCGACCAGAATTCGCCAGGGTTTCGATCCACTGACGCATTTTCAGTATTCACACCTCCAGCTGTTGCATCAAGATAAATGCCGTGTTTGTTTCTCTCCCAGCGACAGCTCTCAATGTTATTAGTGGGGAGCCGAGGCGCCCCCCCCCCCGCAACCCCATGGCCCTGCCGAAGCCGCGCCCCAGGGCCCCCCAGTCGCCGGGTCTAGGTGAGGCCCCGTGTATTGCACGCAGCGCTGCACCGTAAGTGCCCGGAGCGAAACCGAAACCCGCTCATCGCGGCGGGAGGCGGGAAGACCGCCGCTTGCGCGCGGACGAGCTCCCCTCGACAGGCAGTCCCGGAGACGCCCGCAGGGCGGCGGCGTGCCAGGGGGCGCTGCCGCAACCATGGAAACGGGCTGGCGGCTTCTGGTCACGTGATTGCACCGTGGGCCCCAGCAGCGGTGCCCCGGGGTTGTTATCAGAAGAAAATACAGCGCACGCCCACGCCGAGGTCCGAAAGCAAGTGTGCGTAACACGGAGGCGCCGGGCAGCGCGAGCTGGCCCCGGCCCCCACGCGCTCCAGGGGGGGCGCGCCCCGGCCGAGGCGAGCGGACTCGTCACACCGGACACAGCCAACCTCCGGGGCCTTCCGCAGCCCGACACCGACTGCCACGTGCCCTGTCACCTGCTTCACGTGAACCCCCCCCCCTTTTCTAATCCTCACTCAAGGATATGGTTGTCGATTTGAGAGAGAGAGAGAGAGAGAGAGAAACATCGGTCGGTTGCCTCCTGTGGGAGCCCCGACCTGGACCCGTCCCAGCCTGGGAGGCGCTCCGACCGCTGCGCGCCCGGAGGGAGGGCCGGTCCCAGGAAACCGTGGGAAGAAGGGAAACCGCAGGAAGCGGAGGCGCGGGGGTGGGGGTGGGGATGGGCCTTGTGCCGGGAACCGCAGGAGGTTGTGTGTAGTAACGGTGACGGGGCACAACTGTGCGCTCACACTCCGTGAAACTCCTGGAAAGGCACACGTGGGGGCAGGAGTCCTGCTGCGTGTCCCTCACCCCGGAGCCAAGCTCACCCTGGAGAGTCAGGCTGCCGGCTCGGGGATAACCAAGAAAAGCGGCGGAGAGGAAGCTGAGGGAGGGGAAAGGCCCTTGAACAGCCGCAGGCTCCCCAGGGCCGGGAAGGCCACTTGGGGGGCCCCAGACCGAGGGTCCCGGGGGAAGCGGCAAACCTGGACTGGATGTTATTATGTAAGGTTCTCACCAGTCTTCCCTTCATAAAAATGCTACTTTAAAAAAAAAATGAGAAAGGCAACAGATGCTTCTAACGCATCGACGGGAAGGAGGCAGGAGGATTAGGTCACCGTGGATCCCCCTCCACCCCCTCCTTGCCCTCCGCCCATCCCTCCTCCAGCTGCCCAGGGGGCTGCAGCCACCGGTCAGGCCTCGCCCTCACCCACGCCCACTTCCTGCGACCCCTTCAGGGGCCTCCTGGGTCTTCGGGGGGAAGAGACTGAAAGCCACTCCTGGGCTCGGGCTGAGCTCCAGAGGCTCAGAATTCCCCCACCGGCCCTTTGTCTGTATGAAATCTCCGCCCCGGAGGGGGCCGCCCTCCCCGACCATGTGGCCCTGGAGACACACAGAGCAGAGCAGCAGGTTGGGGAGGGCAGAGGGGAAGCAGGAGAGCGTGAACAGCAGGCGAACATCATTCCTGCAACGTCCGCTTTTCTGTCTAAGCTCCGTGAACCGCCTTTCCAGAAAACAGTCACGCCCGCGGCCAGCCGACCTGCTTGTCCACAGCCCGCGGTACGCAGACCCGGGTCCACCTACTGAAACGATGCCTACAGACCAGACGTGTTCACAGCGTGTCTGTCTGAGCCCGGCCTCAGCCCCCGTGGGCCGTGGTGGGCACGGGCCCCAGCAGGGTGGGCTGTGTCCGGAGAACAGTGACAGGTTCGTCCGGAGCTCATCACAAAGTCCTTCCGGGCCCTGGCCGGGTGGCTCAGGTGGTGGGAGCATCTCCCGCAGACTGAGAGGTCGCAGGTTCGATTCCCTGTCAGGGCCCGTGCCCAGGTTTCAGGTTTGGTCCCTGGTCGGGTGAGTACGGGAGTCAACCGATCACTGTCTGTCTGTCTCTCTCTCTCTCTCTCTCCCCACCCCCCGCACTGTGCTCTCTCTGTGCCACCCCTTCCTCTCTCTCTCAATGCAATGAAAACCTGTCCTTGGGTGAGGACTAAAGAACAGAAGACCTTCCCAGACAGAAGACCACTCTCCCCTGTCGGAAGCTCCGCGGCCCTTCCTACCTGCTGGGCCTCCGTCCCGGAACACAGGCAGCCGAGGTGTGGCTTGCTCCAGCCGAGCGTCTTCCCCGGGGGACGGAGGGCATGCCTGGGCCGGGCCGGGCCGGGCCGGGCCGGGAGGGAGGGCCCACGGAGTGTGGAAAGAGGCTCCAGGTATTTGCAGCGCCGACACGTGCTTTCCGAGGCGCGCTCCGTTGGGGCTGATTCACCGCCGGGTGGAGCCCAGCCTGCAGCTCAGGCCTCCCGCCCTCGCCCCCCCCTCGCCCCCCACCCCCTGGGCCCTGCCCTTCCTGGGCCCGAGTCTCCCCGGCCTGCTCAGGGTGCCCCGACTGTAGAGGGCAACTCAGGGAGGAAAAGGCCTCTCTCTTCGGTGATCGATCTGGTGACCTCTGCGCTGCGTCCTAACCATGTGTCCCCTCCCCCGCGGGGTCCCCGCCCCCCCCCCCACACCGGCACAGGGGCCATGGAACGAACTCTGGGTGACAGCGCGGCCCTCTCTGTCCTGGCGTCTGTGCCCCTGACGCAGACACGGTGGCCCTGCGCTGGGCCTGGGGCCATGCTGTCCTCCCCCTGGTGCACCGGGGCCCCCCCGGGGGAGCCACACACCGGGCCAGCCTGTTCCCCGTCCCCCCACCCCGTTCTCTCAAAGTGCTTTCCCGGGACAGGGGGGCTGGCCTGGAAGAGCTGCCGGCACAACCTCGTCAGCCCCTTCGTGTCCCCCCCCGCCCCCCCACCCTGGCCCAAGGCTGTCCCCAAACCGGCAGCCGGTGTGGGCCGCCACAGGGCCGCCGCCGGAGGCCAAGGCCGAGGTTGCCGCCTCCCTTCTGTGGGTCCCCAAGCAGCTTTCTTAAACCCTCCCCGAGGACGTGATTGCTGAGCTGGGAGAGAGAGAAACTTCGACCTGGGCGTCTTCGTGTTGCTCTTCTCTCCTAGCACCGGGGCGGCGCTCACTGCTGAGTGTTTTCAGTAATGATCGTTCCGACGACGTTTCCTCCCGCTCCTGCCGCACTGAGGACGCTTCACCACCAGGGGGCGCTGGACCTTGTCCAGCACTGTGTCTGCGGCAACTGAGATACTCGGGTCCCCTTCTCCCTTCTTCCCGTTAATGGGGCGTATCCCACTGTTTGAGGGCTGTGTGTGAAGCCGTCACGAATAAACCTTGGCTCTCGGGCCGGCCCGCAGTCCCCCGAGCCCCACCAGCCGGGGCCGCACCTGCGGTCTCCCCCTGAGGACTCCTGCACCTGTGAGTCTGGTTGTGCGGACACAGCTCCACCCTTCAGACTGTGTCTTCCTGCCTTCAGCAGGTTTTGTTTTGTTTTTTAACAAAACATAATTCTATTTCAACGCACAACTTCTGTGCAACTGAAACATAAAAGAGCACCACACGAAAAGAATAAGAAAGAAGATTCATTCGCAACACGTGACAAAGGGTGGCCGTCTCCGGTCATAAACGAGCTCTCAGAACCCAGCACTGGCCCACGGGATCCACGGCGACCGGGAAGGGAGCCAGCGAAACGGCACAAATGACCATTAAAGAGGAGGAAAGCGTGACGGTGCCCTGGCTGGGGTGGCTCCGTGGACTGAGCACGGACTGTGAACCAGGGGTCGCCGGTTCAATTCCCAGTCAGGGCATGTGCCTGGGTTGCGGGCCAGGTCTCCAGTGTGGGGGCCGCATGGGAGGCAGCTATGCATGGATGTCCCCCCCCACCTCCCTTCCCCTCTCTCTAAAAATAAATAAATAAAATATTTTAAAACTTTTTTTTAATAAAAAAGAATGCATGGTGGCCGAGCTGACCCGTGACCCGAGAATGACTTCTCTCGGACACCACGCTGCCGGTAGAGACGCCACTGTCCAGTGGTTCTCCGCTCTGGACGGCGCCGCGCGGCCCGAACCGCCGCACGGACGCCAGGACACAGACCGTCTACAATGGGGGTGGGGGACACGACAGTTTGTCATTTTCTCGCTGGAGACAGACACGCCCCAGAGGGCGGCAGACACTGACGGGAATGGGCGGTGAGCGTCCAGGTCAGCCCGGCGGGCGGGAGGCTGGGCTGTGGTGCCGTCTGTCCCCGCGGTGGGGCCCTCGAGGGCGCCCTCGCGTTCCTCCGTGTGCTCGTGGCCTGTTTCCTCCTGGTCCTTAGAGCGAGCCTCTGCCTCCGTTAGCTGGGCTCCAGCCCTGGCGTTGCCGGGGGTGTATGGACGTGGGGACGGGGTGAGGCAGGCAGGGCCCCTCCACTGTCCTCTGAGAGTCCACTCAGGTCCCAGCCTTCCCTGAGCCTGTGCCTTGGGGTTGGGGACAGCCCCTCAGGAGCCCCACCAGGGGGTCTGACCCGCGGCCCATGGGCCCCGTGCGGCCCAGGATGGCGATGAATGCGGCCCCACATAAAACTATAAATTTACTTAAAACTTGGTGAGACCTTTGTTTGTTTTTGTTGATGTTTACGTATTTAACGTGTGGCCCCAAGACAACTCTTCTCTCCCTGTGTGGCCCGGAGACGCCACGAGGGGAGACACCCCTTTCCCGGCCCTGCCACTCCCAGTCTGTGCCCTGGACGTCCTGTCCTGGCCGCCTGCCGCCGGCTGGCTGCCCTGCAGGTCACCCCGCCTGAGACCGGGAGGTGGAGGAGGGCTGCTGGGCTGGAGTCCCCCCTCCCGCTGGGAAAGGCCTCGGCACGGCCCTGCGGGGAAGGCCCTCCTCCCGGGTCAGGGCGCGGGGTCTGGGCGGCACCCCCGGGGGCTCTGCCCACTCGCCCCCCGCGGGGCCCACGGGGAGGCCGCCCCTGCCCACGCCCTGAACGCGCAGTGTGGCTCCTGGAGGAGCAGCCTGTAGAAGGACAGGCCCCCCTCTCACGGTCCAGCCCCCGACCCTTACGGGGCCTGAAAGGCTTCTAAAGGGAGGGGAAGGGGGAGAGCAAGAGAAACCCCGATGTGAGGAGCGTAGGATCCCCCACGGGGGACCAAACCCGCCCCCCACCCCCGGCGGTTTACGGGACGGTGCTCCAAGCCGCTGGGCCGCACCGGCCGGGGCGGCCAGGGCGCGGTTTCCGGCCCCTGGCAGCAGCTGCTGCTGCTGCGGGTCCACGTTGTCACACTTCTCGGTCTCTCCGGTTGCAGGGAAGCTGCCTGCCCCGCAGCCTCGGGCGGGGCAGGGAAACCACCGATACTCCGTCCGCCCAGACTTCCCTTGTCGTAAGGGTGGGAACGACCACCTCTAAGGCCTTACCTGTGCTCTGAAAAACCACAACACCACCTTTCCCCGCCCCGGCACGGAGGTGTGCGGTATGTCCGTGTCAGCCCAGGTCCCGGGCTGTGACCTTCAGGAGCGCCCCCAGCCCCACCCCGCAGCCCTGCTGCAGGGCCCGGGCCCCCACTGTTAGCCCCCCAGCTGGACACTTGCTGCCTGGCCCCTGCCAGCACCCTCCGTCCCCAGTGCGCCAGCGAAAGGCTGGGAGGCGCGGCCCCCAGCTGACCCCTGTGTGACCCCAGTGAGTCGCCTCGGCTCTGAGGGACAGCTGGACCTAGTCCTTGGGATGGGCTTTATATGGCACAAAACCTCCTGTGACCTCCAGGGCCCCGTGGAAGCGAGAGGGTCAGAAATGACTGGAGTTGTGGAGATGCCCGGCCGGGCCTCTTCCCCCACAGAGCCAGGCTGGGCCGCCTGGGCAGGGGAAGGCGGCCTGTGAGGGGTGTGGAGGGAGAGATGGACAGAGGTAGACGGGGCAGCTGGGGCTCAGGGGACGCAGAGGGTAGCCACACCCTCTGCCCCGTCCTCCGAGCACCGTGCCCGGCCCGCCTCTGCCACGGCCCCTACCCCCACCCCACCCTGGTGGCTGCAAACCAGGACCTCCTGTGCTGGGATCGCCCACGCGGCTTCTCGACCCAAGAGCCACGGGGCCAGCGGCTCCTCCCGGGTGGGCGCAGCCCCACTGGGTGGGGGCGGGCGGTCACTGCAGAGCAAGGCCTGGGTCACCCCGGTCGCTGCCCTTCCCGGAGCTCTGGCCTGGCCGGGTTGCCCCCCACCCCTCCAGCCAGTGTCCCTCACCGCCCCCCAGGACACGCTCCCTGAGAACTTCCCCGAGGCGACACCTGGCCTCGGTGGCTCTCCGGACCCGGGGCTCACGGTTGAGAAGGAAACCACGCACCGGCTTCCGCCATCTCCTTCCTTCCACAAGTGTTTACTGGGCACCGGCTCCCCTGGGCACGGCACAGAGTGACAGGGCCTGCCCTCGGGGGGGTCTGAGCTGCTGGCGGGGGACACAGGCTGGGCCCCCAGGGGACTCAGGCGCCTGTGCAGCTGCAGGAGGGGGCGGGCGAGGCTCTGAGACGGGCCCTCCCTGGGGGAGCTCAGGCGGCTGGGACCCACCTCCCCCACCCCACTCCCCAGGGCAAACGGCACACGCCAGCATTCTGTCCTCAGTCTCTGGGTCTGGGCCACGAGGGCGACAGCTGCTTGCAGCCAGGAGGCTCCGTGACGATTCCGGGGTCACCAAGGGCGGGCCCGAGGGGAGGGGTGGAGTGTGGCTTCCCAGGAGGGCTGGCCCTGGCTGTCCTCGGTGGGGCTCCAGGCCGGGAGTCCGGGTAGGAGCGTCTGCACCGACCACACGCTGCCTGCGCCCGGCACACAGCCGGCCGGCGAGGAGTTTTCACCGAGGGCTGCTCACCCGACAGCCGGGACAGGCACGCCTGGGGTCTGGCGCGTCGCCGTGTGGACTGCCACCGGTCCCCGGCCTGTGCCTCTTCCGTGCTGGCCGGCCCCGGGTAGAAGTCCTGTCCTGGGCTGCCTGCGGCAACCCCCCCTTCGCGTCCCACTGCGGTGTGTCGGCAGAGTGGGCCCGCACCTCACGGCCCGCAGGGCCAGGACGGACGCCTGCCCCCCCTGCTCTGAACGGTCCGTGGCTTCGGGGGAGGGGCCGAGAGAGACGTCTGCTGTTCCCCAACGCTCTGCGCCGCGTGGCTCCCCTGACGGTGTGAGCTGGAAGGGCTGGCGAGGCGGCGTTCTCGGGGGCGATCTCTGGCAGACCCGTGGGCAGCCCCTGCTGGCCAGGGCGGCGGGCTGGGTCGCGAGGCTCTCGCTGGGAGGGAGCTGGCCCGGCTTCGTGTTCCCACGGAGAGGCCCCTCTCCCGAGGGTCCCGGGACACGGCGGCTGCTGGGTCCGCGGCGGAGAGCAGGCTGGGCTGGGGCTGGCGGGCACTCCCCGGCTCATGCGCGGGGGGGGGGGGGCCCTTGCCTGTCGCCCACTCCCAGTGACCCCCCTCCCCCGAGTCTCCGAGCCCACACTCTCCCCTGAGTTATCCTCACCCCTCAGGAGGACTCACGGGCTCCTGCCCCTCCCGTCCACAGTGCGAGCTGCTTCCTTCCCGCCGGCCCCAAGTGCCCACGCCTCTCTGGCTCCTGGTAGGAGGAACCGCCGGGCACTGCCGCCCCTCCGGCCGCCTGGCTCTGGGCTCCTCCGAGCCTTGTGGGGAGAGGTGCGTGGACACAGTCGGAGAGAGCCGGCCGCTCCCCAACTGGCCTTGGCCGAGGGCTGCCCGGCCTGGTCCGGCTGAGCGCGTGGCCTCCGGCCCAGGTTCCTCCACAGTGAAACGCCCGGCCCCGCTTTGCCCCTGAGCCGTGCCCCTCCCACGACCCCCAGCACAGTCGCCGCCACAGCGCAGACAAAAGGTGGAGATTTGGGTCTCAGGTTCTCCGGAGGACTGCGGCCGCAAAGACGCCGCTCCCGGTGACTCCTGCAGGGCTGTGCTGCCTTGGGGCTCCCCGCCGGCTGGCCGGGGGGCCCCCCACTTAGGGCTGGCTGCAGAGGAGGCCTTGGTGGGACAGGAAGCCGCAGCCGCTTCCACAGCGCCCGCGGGGCAGACTCTGTCCCCTGGCTGTTAGAGGTGAGGCCCGTGGCTCCTGCCGCGCCCAGCGGAGCTACAGGGGCTGCGGCCTCGCAGAGGCCCGGGCCGGGGCAGGCCGCACCCGGGGCTGGTGCAGGTCCAGGACCAGGCCCGGGCACTTGGGGGCCTGTGGGCCGTGGGGTGGGCCTGTCGAGGAGGGCCGGCCACAGGCGGCAGCCCCTCCAGGAGGGCTGTTGGGCCGGTCCTGCCGGGGGAGGGGCCTGTCCCCCGCCCAGGGCCGCCTGCACGGCCCACCGCCGGTGTCCTGCCCGGGGGGCTGCACCGTGCGGGGCTCGGGCCCAGACCCCAGATGGATCTGCAGGGCGGCCACCTGGGCCGCACAGCCCGCCAGGATGGGCTCCGCTTCCGGGGGGCTCCCCCTGAGCCCCGGCCTCCGCCAGTCTCGGGGGCACCCCGAGTGCCCGGGCGGCTCCTGCGAGTGGGGCCAGGCAAGAGGGGTGATGACCTTGTCTTTGCCAGGAGCGTCTGTGGCCGCAGACGCCGCAGCCCCCGAGGGGGAGAATGAACCTTCCTGGTGGCCTCCTGCACCGGCCTCGCCGGGGACCGGCACGCCCCTCACGGCCGGGTCCCGGGGCCGGTGGCTGGGCCCCTGCGCCACCGCTGCTGACGCCTCGCTCTCCCCAGCGAGCAGGCCCGCGGCGCCCGAGTGCACCCACCGCTCCTCCTGCCCTCCGGGGGCCGCACCCACGGCAACCCCGCCCTCCAGCTTCCCGGGACCCGGGCCTTTCCTCTCGGGGCCGGCGGGTCCCCGGAGGCCGGGGCCGCGGCGCAGCCAGTTGACGACGCCCATGGTGACGGCGAGCTCCGTGTCACAGAGCTTCAGCAGGCACTCCTTGCCCTTCCAGGAGCTCTGCGAGAAGCCCTGGCCCAGCAGGTCGGGGCCCGGGCCCGGCGCCAGGTTCTCGTCCGCCCCCACGTGGAAGCTGCACATGGACAGGGGCGCCCCCGGGGCCGGCCCCGACAGGCTCTCGGACACGCACAGGTCACCATCGTCCAGGCCGGGGCCGGCGGGGCCCTCGCTGGGGTCGTAGAACAGCTCGTAGAGGGCGTCGCCGCTGTAGCTCTCCCGGGGGAAGGAGGCGGTGGGGGTGCCGGGGCTCGGGGCCCCCGGCCGGTCTTCCAGGCTCGGGGAGAAGGCGTCGTAGTAGCCCTCGTCGCTCGTGGACACCGACTCCGGCTGCTCGCTCTTGGGGGTGCCCGTGTCGGTGGGGCTGGCCTTGGAGCCGCCGAGGGGGTCCCTGCAGGGCCACAGAGGGAGCTGGGCCGGGCCCGCCCCCGGAGCACCCTCGGGCCGCGGGCCCAGCAGGGCGCGCCGCTGCTGCCACACGCAGTGGTTCACGCTGTCCCAGAACCGCGCCAGGTCCGACACCTCGTTCTGGGCCGGCGACGGCAGCTGGTCCTGGGCAGGGCCCCTGGGCGCCTTGCCGTCGGAGGCCGGCGGAGGCCGGGCCGCGCCGGGCAGGCCGGCGTCCAGGATGAGCGGCGGCAGCGAGCTCTCGTCGGCGAAGATCTCCCCGCAGCCCGTGAGGGAGTCGAAGCTCTTCAGCGAGGCCGCGTCCTCACACAGGGCCCTGCAGAGCTCGTAGGGGGCGTCGGGCGGGACCTCGCCGTCCGACAGGTCCTGGCACGCGCCCTCCGGCCCTGGGCCCTCGCCCCAGGCGGCCAGGGCTGGGCCCCGCCACCCTCGGGCCTCGGGCGGGCTCCCGGGGGAGGGCGGGCCCTTCTCCGCGCCGGCCAGGGAGGCCAGGTTCTCCGTCTTGTTCCTGCGGAGGTGGAACAGGTTCCGGAAGCACTTCTTGGGCCTCTTCAGGGAGATCCTCTTCCTCGGGAGGCTCTTGGCCACGGCCGGCACGAAGGGGGCCTGTGGCACGGAGTGGCGGTAGTCGATCATGCGCGGGCTGCCCGAGGGGCCCGGGAAGCTGGCGCTGCCCACCAGGTGCCCCGCCGCTGAGGCTGCCCTGCCGGCGCCCGGCGCGCTGTCCTGGGCCTTGCTCTTCCACACCAGCTTGAAGGGGGCGCCCCCCTCGGGGTCAGGCTGCGCCCCCTTGCTGGAGCCCCGGGGACACCCGTGGGTGCCGGGACCGGTTTGGGGGCCCCTCTCGCCGGGGGCCTGCTGCCGCCCTCCCGGCGAGACCGAGCGGGCGCCCGCGTCGTCCTGGGCAGGGGCGGGGGCCGCGGGGCCCGGGGGCTTCTCATGGGCGGCGACGTGGGGGCTGGACTTGATGAAGGTCTTCCCTCTCCTCAGCTCCATGCTGCCCGGCGGGGGCTGCTGCGGGGAAGCAAAAGGCACTCAGTGTCCCCGTTCCAGCCCCGCCGACCCCCTCGGTGGGGCGGAGCCCTCCCCGGGGGTGGGGGTGGGGGTGGGGAGGCAGCAGCCCACCTGCTCACGTTCCAGCCTTCCCAGGCCCCTGACGCCCCGAGAGGCTCAGCCGCGGACCGCAGGCAGCGGCCAGGCCCCCAGGAGAGCCTCGGGGTCAGGCGTTCTCGAGTCTGGGGTCCCTGGGTGCACCCCAGCACCCTCCCAGAGCGCGGCCAGCCCAGTCAGACCCCCGTTCCGAGGCCCAGGGGGCGAGCGGGGGGCACCCCCTCCCTATGGGGACGCCCACGGCCCTTGTAGGCGGGTGCAGCAGGGACTTCTGGACACGAGTTGCCTCCTTCACCTAAGAGACAAGCCCCAGGCCTCCGCTCCGCGCCGGGGGAGGCACGCGGACCGCCCTCCAGGCCGGCCCCACCTGCTGGGGGGCAGGGGGGGACGGGGAGGGGTCCGGAGGGGGCAGGGACACAGGGCTGGGACGGACGCCACCAGGCGACACCAGCGGAGCGCCTGGTGGTGCGTGCAGAGCTAGCCCCCGAGCGAGCTGGAGCAGCGTGGCCGGAGGCCAAGGCCGGCAGGCGAGCTCCAGGCCAGGACCCGGCAGATGGAGGAGACGCGGGACGCCGTGGGCCGGAAGAGGCGCCAGGTGTCACCTCCTGTGCGGGGCCTGACCGGAGGTACTGACGCGGGGACACGGACCGCCGCCCGCCCGGGGAGGGCTCCCGCGCCCCGCCTGGGTCTGGGGTGGGGGAGGGGCCCAGGGGGCTCGCAGAGGTCCGTCCCGGTCCCGGGTGCGGGGCTGGGCGGGTGGTGGGAGAGCAGACAGGGGAGCGTGGGCCGGGCCGAGAAGGGCGGCACCACCCTGAGGTCAGGGCAGCCCTGTGGGGGTCGCCGAGGGGGCGGGCGGGAGCCGGGGCGAGGGTGGGGTGTGGGGGTGGTGGGAGACCGCCCCCTGAGGTCTGCGTAGAGGGCGGGAGGAAGTGGGGGGGGGGGCTCCAGGCCGGGCGAGGGGGACTGGAAGGAGGCAGCGAGTGGGCTGAATGTGCGTGTGTGCACAGATATGTTTATACAGGAACACACACGCATGTTTACACACACACGCGTGTTTTTATAAGGCCTAGACGGAGGCCGAGGCTCTGAGCGAGGGAAAGGGCTGTCCAGCCAGAGGGTCTCTGGGAGGAGGAGCTGCCCGGCCTCGGCACCCCGGGGCAGAGGGAGGAGCAGGCGGGGGTCACAGTGGGGCTGGGGAGACGCGGGCAGAGGCGGGGGGCGGGGAGGCGGGCCGACGAGGAGGGCCTGTGCCTGGAGCTGGTCTGGGGGACGGGAGCACAGTCCCGTGTTAAACACGCCGCCTTTGGGGCGAGCTTGGAGGCCCAGGCGGCCGCACCCAACGAGGGCAGCCGCCCCCACCGCGCGCTGACACGCTCAGGCCGGCCGGTCTCCTCCCTCCTGGGCCACGGTGGCCTACACGTGGGCCCTTGGTCGGTCGGTCGGGGGCACGAGGGGAGAGCGCGGGGGCGGGGGGGGGGCTGGTGTCTGACTCGGCACAGGTTGTGCCTGAGCTCCCCAGGCTCTGCGGCCTGCACCCCTCGCACACCCACCGCCCACGGTGCAGACGCCCATCAACGGTGAATGCACTAATCCAGTAATAGCCGTGTCTTCGTGGGGGGGGGGTTTGGAAAGCGAGTGGAAAGGAAGACGAAAAGCAAGCGAGTAGCTGACACAGGCGTGGACACCGGCACCGGGGCTGGCGTCGTCCCTGCGGCGGGGATTTCGGAGACGGTCACTGCAGGAGCTCCGCTGAACATGCCCTTCTCTGTTTTCGGAAAACGTCTTTATCGCCACGCTCTCGGAAGTGACTTCTGGCAGGCGCGATAAAGACGATCTCACCGAGTGCAGAATTCCGCAGGCACAAGGACGAAGGTGATTCGTTTGCTGTTGACCTCGATAAATAAAATGCCCGGTTTCTTAACGACCGGAACGGCTAACCGAGTTAAAACCGTGAACGGTGGGAAGTTCCAGTGCACCTGAACTCAGACAGTGACCGCTCACCATAGCTGTACGTGGCCGGACTCGGTCGCTACCGTGGCCCAGCCTGTGTCCTGAGCTAATGTGACACCTCGCCAGTTGGGACAGTGAGCGCTAGGGCCCAGAGCAGTGACCCGGAGACTTGCAGAGTTCTGGAGCAACCGAATGAAATCCGGGGTGTATTCCGCCCCCCGGTTTCCACACATCATATCTCTGTACTACTTCCTCTGAGCCTGACTCTTTGGAAACATGGGGTCTGGATGGGACAAGAGCAGAGACTCCCTGAGGGTCAGAGGGTCTTAGAGGGTCTTAATGGAGACCGGCTGACCGCCCCCTTCCACGACAGCTTCGGGGTCCGAGTGGACTGGGCGGGACAGCCAGAGGCTGCCGCTGCTGCTGCCTCTGAGAGCAGAGGCCGAAGGTGTCCAGGTCCTCAGTGGCCACCGCCACATTCCGCTTTGGGACCCCGCAGCGGCACGCCCCCGCAGTGGGGCCCAGCAGGAAGCTGTGAGGCACCAGGCAGACCCGTCGCCCCCGCCCCGCCCGCCCCTCGTGGGGGCCCCTCGGCTGTAACCCTCCCTGGCCCCGGCCCCTCACTCTGCTGCTCGCCTGGTCCTCTGGCCCCTCAGGGAGACCGAGGAGCTCTCAGGGGCTCCTGACTCCCGCCACGGCGGTCCACAGCCACTACTTCTTCAGGTGCAGGGGTGACGTTCTGCAGACGTCCTACCCACACAGGTCCGCCTGCGCTTCCTGAACGGGAAGCTGGGTCTGGGACCGTTCACTCTGCGGCTCACCCCGGCGGCCCGGGCAGCAGGCCGGTGGGGTGGGGCTGGGTGGTGGGCACCACAGCCACGCCTGGCCTGAGGCAGCAGCGAGGGCCCTGGCCTTCGTCCTACCTGCCGTGGGGACCCAGACGGGAAGGGTGAGTGACGTGAGCCCAGTGCCGGTCCTACCGGATTACTCCGGCTGCGGGCGTGACCGGAGGGGAGGCCGGAGCTCAGGGTAGCAGCCAGAGCAGTGCCCGACGGGGAAGAGTGGTGGCCGGGGCGTTCCTCCCCACCCCCGGGCACAAACCTTCCTTCCCAGCCCCTCACACAGGGACGCACGCGCACAGGTTCACTGCACACGGGGCAGGTCACACCACTGGAGCGGCTGCTGCTCTGCCTGGTGACGGACCGCACAGCCTAGGTGTCCCTTGCCCCCTCGGCGGGGTAACTCCGTGCCCCTTCCCTTTGTAGCGTGACAGTGACCGGGTGTTCCACGGAGCTCAGGGAAAGCCTGAGACGCAGGTATGCCCTAGAAACGGGGTCCAGATGGGGAGATTTTGACCCCTGGGTTGGGCGAGTGTCACGCTGTCCCCGGCCCCGCCCCCGCCATGCAGGACAGCCGGCGCGGGTGAAGTGCAGAGGGGTGGGCGGTGGTAGGCAGGCAGAGGGCGCTCAGGGGAGACCCGTCCAGGGATGGGGGGGGGGCTGGGGTGTCGGGGTGGCAAGCTAGGCAGGGGTGCGAGGTTATTTCTGTCGCAGGCTGCCCGAAGCCTCTGACGGATGACGTGGAGGCCACTGGGGGAGGGACAGCCCTGCTGTTCCGGGTGGGTGTGGGGGAGGGAACAAAGCAGGGACGGGATTGGCAGTGGGCATCTGCAGGTCACCCCACCCCCACGCTGGGGAGACAAAGGGTCTTTGCGGCGCGAGGTTCTGGCCCAGCTCCCCTGGGGGAGCCTTTGGGTGGTCCTGGCTGCCCCGTCGGGAGGATGGAAGCCACGTCTCCACTCCTACCCGTTCTTTCCCGGCTCCCGCACCCGCGACCGCGGGCCGAGTCTCTTCCCCTTCCCAGCCCAGACCTGCAAGGGTCATCGCCCCAGACCCGGGACCCCAGCCATCCGGGCAAGGCACCATGCGGTGGAGAGAGTGTGGACCTTGGTCCCTCCCCGCGTGCCTCCGTGACGCGAAAGGACGCGCAAAAATTCCCAAATCACCCTCCACCCCCCTCCCCCCGGCCGACATCCTCGGGGCCTTGGCGACTTACCGCGGGGGCCGGCAGTGGCGCAGGACGCGGCCTCAGCCGGGCCTGGAACCGCGCGGACGCCGAGCCGCGCGCTCAGCACCACGGCCAGCTCCCAGCGCCGCGCGCCCCCGCCGGGGCGCGGGTGGGGGCCCGAGGGCCCGCGTCCGCGCGCCGCCGCGGGTCCGGCCGCGGGCGGACTGGGGAGGGCTCCCCGCGGGAGGGGGGTGGGGCGGGGCGGGGCGGGCGAGGGCCGCGAGCGCACCGGTGGGAGAGGTGACGCTCCCGGGGCGGGCGCGGAGGCTGCGCCGGGGGCCGCAGCCCGGATGCGCCGCCGCCGCCGCCCTGGCCCCACAGGATCTCGCTTTGTTCGTGTCTCTCCGCGTCTCTGTCTCCGCGTGTCTCTGCCTCCCGCAGGGACGTGGCGCCGCGTCCCTCAGCCCAGCCGCCCGCGCCCGGCAGGGACCGCGGGCCGGAGGTCTCCCGTCGCCCCGCCCTCATCCGCGCGCCGCGGTCCCAGCGCCTCGCAGCGCGTAGGCGCAGGTGTCCGAATCCCGCAGCCCCGGGCCCGGGCAGGGTGAACCCCAACCCTCGGAAGGGCGCAGTCACAGGGGGCCTCGCCTCGAGTCCTACCCGGGATTCGGAGACGGGGAGCAGGCCACCCTCGGGATGCAGGGCGGTGTTCCAGAACCTTCTTTACGAAGTGCCTCTCTTGGACCCGATGATAGCATTAATGGGGACGAGGGGGGCGCTTCCCCCACAGGTGCTCCCCGCGTGGGGTCTGCGGGCGCCGTGGCCTGCCGCAGTCTTGGGGGAGGAGCAGAGACGGTGCGCCCCCGGAGCTGAGGACGGAGGGTCCGCGCGCTGGGGGGCGGCCATCGAGCAGGGACTCGGTGACTGCCGATGGCTCAGGAGCAACGCCCGCCCGAGCGGGGGGCGGGGGGGGCGGGGGGGGGACAGCGGGAGCGCAGGGCCGGGGCCAACGCCGCGGCGACCCCAGGGAGCGCCGTAAGTGGGGCGGGCAGGGGCCGGCCCCACGCTGCAGAGACGAGGAGGGAGGGGTCGCCCCGCCCGGGCTTGGGCCGAGGGAGGCCCCACGCAGGTACCGGCTCTGGGGAAGGACAAAGGCCACGCCTTTCCTCGAGCCCTCGGGCCTCCTCCCCGTGCCCCTCTCACAACAATTAATTAGTGAATAACTTAATATTTTTTAAAAACCTGGAGAAACAAGGCGTCCACGTTGGTTCGGACTGGCTTTGCCGTGACCCATGCGCCGTGTTTGTAATCAGCCGGCCTGAGGCTGCGGCGCGGCAGGCCCCGCCTCCAGCGAGCACCGCCCCGCCTTTGCGTGAGCCCCCTTCCCCCGTTTCTCGCAGTTGAGCTCTCTTTGCCCCTGTTTAGGCCGCCTGTCTGTATGTGCTTCTGCGGATCAGGTGGACCTACTCGATCCCTAGCTTTGGCAGGGGGCCGTGTGTAGTAGGTGTGGGGGACGGGGGGCGGGGGGGCTGTAGCTCAGGCTCCCTGATCCCCCGAGTTGGGTGCTCCCGCAACGCCCCTCTGTGGGTGAACTGAGCCCTCCCGTCGTCACTGAGTCCAGATGGCTGTTGGCCCAAACGCACATGAGGATCAACCCCCAGCACAGCGTCCAAAGCTGCCAGTGGGTGCTGGCCACCCAGAGGGGCCCGCCCAGCAGCGTCTGGTGCCTGCGGAGAGCCCCTCTCGAAGTGCATGGGGTCCTGCTCCGACGGGGCCGAGGCCCCCCGCAGGCACGCTGGGACTGACCCCTCTTGGGAGGGACTCCCGTGCAGAGCGGTGCCAGACGCTGCCCAGGGCTGGCCCTGGGCCACCCGTTTGGGGACACAGCGGGATCCACAGCGTGTGGCTGCCTCTCGCACCACACGAGTGCGTGGAGTGGCTGCGGTGCACACCACAGCGGGCTCCCACCCGCACCGAGCCTGGGGACCCACTCACCCAGGGACTGGCCTCCGCCCGCCTCCGCCTGCTGGCTGCCCCTTAGGCCCCTGCATTAATGGAGGAGCCTGTGGCGGCCGGTGGCTTTCTGGAGAAAAGCCCTCGGCGAGTCAGCCTCGGGCAGAGGTTGGGTTCGCCAGACCCGCAGAGCTTCGGGTTTGCGGCCGGTGCGGGGTCTGAGGCCGCTTGGCAGAAGCCTCAGGGAACACCGAGGCCAGGGGCCACCGGCCCGAGATCTGAGGACCTCTGTGGTACGGCGAGGCCACAGCGAGGCCAGCAGAGGTCACCAGGCCCAAGCGGACCAAGGTCTGGCCGTGTGAAGGGAGGGCGGGCGAGGGAGACATGCCCCCCACCCGGGGCCGCACGGCCAGCCGGCCGGGCTCTCCTCGCACAACGCCTGCCCACTCCCAGCGGCCCTCCCTCGCCGCACCCCTGGTGAGCGGCTGTGCACGAGAGTTTCTGTGCTGGCCTCTGCAGGGCTCCTCGCCGAAGCCTGTCTCTCCCGCAGACAGAGTCCCCACTGGTTTTCACACCACGTGTGCTGTGGGCCCCTCTTCCCGGCCCCGCAGCTCTGGGCTGGGAAGCTCTGGGTGGGGTTAAAGCCCCGAGTTCCTGCGGGGGGGGGGGGAGCCCTTGCAGCCGAGCTCAGGCGCGCTGCGGGGGCCGGTCTGGCCCTTTTCCTGTCTCCGCCCTTCCTGCCACATGGCTTCTTCTGAGAATCTTGGGGTACAGGACTTCTGTTCAGCCAGCCTTCGGGTGACGGTTGGGGGCTGATGGTTCTACATTTTAGCTGGGATTCCAGTTCGGTCCTGGGGAGGGAGCTGAGTGCAGCTTCCGCCTGCGCCCCCGCCCTCTTGCCCTCCCCCGGGGGCAGAGGGTGTCAGCCCCAGGCCCTGAGACATAAACACTGACCGTCAGCTTGTGGGGCCAAGGTGTCACGGCCGCCCCGACAGGAAGGTGTGTTCAAACCCAAAGGTGAGGCAGGCAGTGTCACGGAACGGAGTGGAATCTGGCGCGAGGTCAGGTAAGGGGAGAGTGGGCTGCGGTGGAGACACGGCCCAGCAGTTCCGCTCCCACTGTCCTTCACGACCGGACCCCGTCACAGGCTTTTTCCGGCCATCGCTCGGGTGTCAGTGACGGACAAGACTCGGGGACACCGGAGGCAGCAGAGCGGGGGCCGCCCTCCCGGGGTCGGTCCCGTGAGGGTTGATGGCTCGCACCCGGTCCTCTCACCAGCGCGACACTCGGCCGAGTCGCCGCCCCGTTCCGGCCGTGGCCCACCCCCCGGAGCGTGCGTGGCAGCTCTGCAAGGAGCGCAGGCCGTGGACGGCGGGCAGGCTTGCTCAGGACAGGGAGGTTGGTCCAGGGTCACAGCGTCGACCCTGCAGTGAAGCCCGGGACACCGAGACAGAGTGGGTTTTGCCCACACACCCGTCTGCACACGTAGGAACCAGCGGCTCCTTCCACTTTCCACCCCCTTTGTTATTCCTGTGGTTAGTTTCCATTCTCACCCAAGGGTGTGTTTGTTGCTTTTAACGAGAAAGGAAGGAAGAGAGAGAGAGAGAGAGACATCGATGTGAGAGAAAAACATAGACTGGTTGCCTCTCGTACACACCCTGACGGGGAATCGAACACACAGCCTTTTGGTGTATGAGACAGCGCTACAACCAACTGAGCCACCCGGCCAGGGCCGCCACCCCCTGGTTTTTGAACAGAAACGTCTGGGACTGTCACCCCTGCCCGTCCCACCGCTGGGTGCTGGGATTGCTGGGTTTCACCGGCCTGCAGATGGGAAAGACCCACGCTTCACAGCGTCACCTAACGGGTTACCATGGGAACCGCCCCCTCACCTGAGGAAGAGGCCTTGGACATCCAGGAGATGCGAGAAAGACACTTAAATTTAAGCGAGGGTGTTGGTTCACAGAGCAGCCCCCGTATGCGGAGGGCAAGAAGAGATGCGAGAAGGAGGCAGACCACTGAGATTGGCAGCTGGGGGGCTGCACAAACGAGGGGACTTCCTTGGCAACCAGAAGACGGGGCCACCCACCAGGAGTCTGTACACAGGCCCCTTCTCCGTCTGGGCTGCCGGCACAGGGGGCGGAGCGTGCCGCCCAAGGAGGGCAGGGGAGGGGCCGGGGCCCTGGACGGCAGGGGTCCCGCTCAGCGGTCAACCGCGGGTCACGTCCTGCCCGTGACCTCCACTGGCAGAGGTGAATCTGGATTTTGCGTCAGTGGGAGGGGCCTCGGGAACCGAGGGACACAGTGGAGGATCCGTCTTCCGGAAGGACGCCCGTCCTCCCAGGGCCGAGGGCCGCGCTTTCCCCCCGCCGCGGCCCTCGGGTGACTGGCCAGCGGGCACCAGCTGAGGCGGGGAGGGGGCAGGCTGCACGGGTGGGCGGAGGGAGGAGGCGTTCCCTTGGTGGGCCGGACCTAGTTGCAGGAGGGGGCTCAGAGGAGCATCAGATCCTGAAAACAAACGACAGAATTTGGTGGCATCATCTAAACAACTGACCTCTGACCACCGAGGCCTATTCCTGGGCAGCGGCCCGGGCTCCCAGACCTTGGTCGGACTGGGGTCCCTGCGTGCCTTCTGCTACCCTCTCAGTCTGGGGGCTCCCAGAGTGGACGGCCTTTTTGGGCCTGCCTGGCACACCCCCCCCCCCCAGCGGCTAAGCGCGCGCGCATGCGCGCGCGCAGGCCCGCCCCCTCCCACCCCACCCCCAACCCCCAGGAGGCGGTTTCCCAGCGGCCCGCCGCCACGTGGGCGCCCAGCCATGGTGAGCGCTGGGGCGGGGGGCGCAGGCCCGGGCCGGCGGGCGACCCTCGCCCTGGCCCAGGCCGTGGCTCTGCTCTGGCTGTGGCCGCCGCTGCGCGCCGAGCCCAGCAGGACCACCACCACCACCCCGGACGTCGAGGCCGGTGAGCTGGCAGCCAGCGCGTCCCGCGCCCCACCCACGGCCGCGGCCCGAGGCACCTCTTCCGGCCGGGGTGGGCTCTGGGGTCCCGGGGCTTCTGGGGAACGTGGGCGGCGGGCCGGGAGGGCGGAGAGACCAGGTGCCGCTGCTCCCGGGGCCCTTCCCCAACGGATGCCAGCCTCTGCGGCCAGGGGCCGGGTCCCGGGTCCCGCCCGCCACACCCTCCCCGGTTCCTGAACGCGGGGCGCGGCTTCCGGAGCCGGACGGTCCAGCAAAGTGTGTGACCCCAGGCCTCGGGCTGCCTAGAGCCCCGGGCTGAGGGGCCGCCGCTTCTCCCGGAGCACACAGCACCCCCTCCCCGGGGGCCTCGGTCTCCGGGGCCCCAAACCGGGGCAGCGGTCAGAGAAGCGGGTCGGGGAAGGGCCGGTGCAGTGGCGCTGCCCATCCTGGACCTCGCTGCCCGCTGGTCTGCCCATCCCCCCCCGCAGACCTACAGGCTGCGTCCTGACCGTCCTCACCGCCGCGGTCTCCAGTGATGCCAGGGGGCCCCTTGTCACCTGGGCCTTGTCACTCACCGGGGCCTCGGGTTCCTGCTGTGACCTGCGAGCACGGGGCACGGTGGACCCAGGTCCTGCGGACTCGGCGCCCGGCGGGGCCAGACCACGGAGGCATCTAACCGGGTGCCTGGCGGCTGGGCCTGTCCCCACAGTGTGCGGGAGGCCCGCGGTGGTCGGGAGGATCTTTGGTGGCAGCAGCGCGCCTGCCCAGCGGTGGCCGTGGCAGGCCAGCCTGCAGTACCACGGCAGGCACATCTGCGGCGCGGCCCTGATCGGCACCTTCTGGGTGGTCTCAGCGGCCCACTGCTTCCAAAAGTGAGTCTCCCCCCCCCCACCCGG